CTCTCTTTCTCTCTTTCTCTCTTTCTCTCTTTCTTTCTTTCTTTCTTTCTTTCTTTCTTTCTTTCTTTCTTTCTTTCTTTCTTTTCTTTCTTTCTTTCTTTCTTTCTTTGTTTTTTATATGGATGCTATATGGGGGATTGAATGCCTGGGCCTCAAGCCCGTTAGGCAAGTGCCCTATTACTGTTCTACAATCTCTAGCTTTTTTCAAAATTTTTTCTTTTTCTTTTCTTTTTTTTTTTTTTGGTACCGGGGATCTAACTAGGGACCTTGCGCTTGCGAGGCAGGCAGCAGAACCACTGAGCTAAATCCCCGGCCCATCAAATTTTTTCCTTTTTGTGATACTTGAGATTAAATTCAGGGACTTTGCATTGAGCTACATTCCCAGCCCTTTTAAAATATATTTTTATTTCGAGGCAGGGTCTTCTTAAATGGCCCAGGCCGAGATTCAGCTTGTAGGCTTCCTGTCTTAGCTTCCAGAGTGCAGGGATTACAGGTGTATGTCACCATGCTCAACCTTTGTTAAAATTTTGAGACTTCTTTTTTTTTGGTACCAGGGATCGAACTTGGGTCCCTGTGCTTGAAAGACAGGTGGTCACACCACTGAGCTAAATCCCCAGCCCAAAATTTTGAGACTTCTTAAATTGCCCAGGCTGACTTTGAATTTGTGATCCTCTGATTCTGCCTCCCTAACTGAGCTCATAGGTGTTTTCCTCACTCCCTTTTTTTTGGATATAGGTGTAGTTTAGTCTATGACTTGGAACTTGCTATGTTACCTATGCTTGCCTCAAACATGAAAACATCTTGTCTCAGCCTCCCCAGTCCTGGGATTACAGGCTTGTGCCACCATGCCTGGCCTCTACCTCCTCTGCCTCCTTCTCATCCTTTCTTTTCTTCAGTGCTGGGGATTTTCACTGAGCTACATCCCCGATCCATTGATTGATTGATTGATTGATTCATTCATTCATTCATTCAGGGTATTGCTAAGTCTCTTACCCAAGCTGGGTTTATATTTGTGATCCTTCTGCTTCAGCCTCCCACAGTGCTGAAATTACAGATTTGTGCCAAAATGGCTTTTCAGCCATCTTTTTTTTTCTTTTTTTTGTGGTACTGGTGATCGAACTCAGGACCTTGTGCTTGCCAGGGAGGCGTGGCACCACTGAGCTACATCCTCAGCCTGCAGCCATCATTCTTATTAAAATTTCTAGCCTCAGCACGGTGTGCGCATGCCTGTAATCCCAGCACTTGGGAAGTTGAGGCAGAAGGATGTGTTGTGAGTTCAAATGCAGCCTGAACTACATAGCAAAGCCCTGTTTCAGAAAACAAACAAAAAATTTAAAATTTCTAGTCTGTTTTATAAAAAAAACACATCTTCTTTATCCACTTTCCAGTTCATGGGCACTTGGGCTGTTTCCAAGCTTTAGCTATTAGAAACTGTGCCTCTATAAACATGGGTGCGCATATATCGCTGTGGTATGATTCTTTTAATTCTTTGGGGAAGATATCCAGTAGGGGAATAACTGGGTCAAATGGGACCTCTAGTCCCAGTTCTTTGAGGTATCTCCATACTGATTTCCCCAGTCTGCACTCCCACCATCAATGGAGAAGGGTTCCTTTCTCTCCACACCCCTGCCAGCATTTGTTATTGGTTGATTTCTTGATAGCAGCCATTCTTTGTGGGGTGAGGTGGAATCTCAGTGTTGT